TTCACAGTTTTGTTATTTTTGCTGATAAGTGAATGTGCTAAATTAAATCCATATGGACGTGTACAATTATACTAAAGTTTAATTCAAAATTCAAAACCCTGTAAAATATAATAAAATAAATACTGGTGGAAATTAATGCTTTGACAGTACAAATGTTCCTACTATAAAAACTTGATATAAAATTTCCCTGATTGTGAAAGCATGCAAAAATTTCTCTCACACAGCTGCATTACTTGCCTGTGTTTATTATAAACACCAGGATAAGTGTGATTTATACATTGACAGAAAAATTGACATTTTCAGAAATTAGACATTATGAAGAGACATTACTGTAAAATCTGTATTAGAAACCGCGGCTTCTATTAAAATGGTACAATCCAATAGAGGGGGTGCGGCTTCTATTAGAGCATCTACACATATGAGAAATGATGATTTTTTGGTTCCCAATTGTTTAAAAAGAATGGGTCCGACTTCTATTAGGGATGCCGCTTCTACCGGTACTACAATATATTATAATGTAGAATATCTATAAATAAGTTATTCTTCTGCACAAAAAACTATTCAGGATTTCTGGTCTGTTTTACTGAGTACCTTATCTTAGGACATAGTTCCCTTGCATGCAATCAGTAAACTCAAATAAATAATAACATCAATATAATTCTAATTAATATGACGTATTTATGTCCAAGTACTAAAATGAAAGAAATTGATGACATCAATCAAAGCACACAATGTCCTGTACAGACAATAGCTCATTCTATGATCAAGATTTATTGCCTTTAAATTTAATATAACCGGTAATGTAATTTATTCCAGCTATCAATCATAGGATCAATACACTATTTTGGGTTAAATCAGTGCAATAACATGTACAATGTGAAGGTACTAAGAATTCCAATCAGTACAGTGATGTTGTCCATAATTCAATATGCATAGCGCCCTCATAGTTGCACCATATACTTCAACCACACTCAGATGTCATTTACTGTAAATTGTTATTTTAGCTGAACTTAATTTTTCGATGAAAAGACTTTTTGGCTGTTTTGTAATTGAATTTATTTTCACAGATTTTTGACAAGTTGAATGTAAATTATAGGAAAAAGGTAACCTGGTACATTCGCTTGATTTTATTTTCACTGACTCATTCCTTCAGCAAAAATACAGTATTTTACAGTAGTTGCAAAAATGTTAAGCCAAGGTAATGAGTCCTGAAACATAAAAATGTACATTTTAAAACTACCAGTACACACAATTCTAAAAAAAATAAAAAAATAATGTAGTGATACCGGTACTAAAAATGGCTGACATAGTGTTTGCAGGTATCATCTAATCATGATTACTAACAATATGATTACATATGAAATATGAAAATAAAAAAACAACAATTGGAACCTATACCTACATCAGATTTTAATCAGATTAGATTATTAACAATGCCTCAGAATATGTTATTGGTTTATTTTCACTTTATTCTGCTTGAAGAAGTGGAAATCTAGCATGCATGGAATAAAGGTAAAATAGTTTGCCCAGGCAGAATGCGTAGTTTCCAAAATGTAGTATGTTAGATCACTACCTTCCATGGTTAAATACACCACAACAAAAGTAAGAAAAATATCCATGAATTTAACTTACACAGGAAAATTAATGTATTGATCACAACATATTCATTCATATTTCTGACTCTAACTATTTAGGTAGGCTATTTCTGAAGGGTATGGACCTGGTCTATTGGAAGAGGTGGGCAAAATTTCTTTCACCTCAAGTGGTACAGTAACAGATTAAAGCAGATTAAATTACCACTTGAAACAAAAATAATCAGGTACAGAGAGTGATTTCACTTCATGCATGAAGCTCTATGGTTCAAGTAAAAGCAGGGTTACTAGAAGAGAAAATTGAGGAATGTTCTATTCTATCAAAGGGGTGCACTGTTAAATAAAGAAAAAACTGAATATCTGTAATTGATATCGTTACAGAATGAAGCTTCTTTTATGTTTTCATGATTACAGATAGTAAAGTGTTTTAAGTAGATTTATTAGTTATGCAATAAGTTAATATTTATACACTTATGCCATGCTGACCACCCACTTGTTTAAATGGTTTCACCCAAACATCTTTCACCTGTAATATAGTCGCACAACACAGACACAGGAGGAAGTAGGTAAGTCTGGAAACATTATCAATATACCAAACTAGACAACTTAGAATGACATCAGATATGTGGACGGGCTGCAATACTCACTATATATAGAGGTACTGGTACATCCATACTAATGCTCTACTTCATATCCTATGTATTTTAATTTTTACCCCGGGGAATGATTTGTTCAGTTGTCATTCTTTTGTTAACTGCTTGAGTTTGTCTTTGTTGCAGAATATTTAAAGGACAATTGAGTGAATTTTTGATATTGACAATTTGTATTTTTATGGTTTGGATCTTTTCAGTAATTCTATTCATTGAGTAGGAAGCCCTATATGCATCATGTGCACGTCAGCCATAGCATACAGGACTGCTAGACTCACAGTTCTCATATACTGTACTGTATGTATGTATGTACATGAATATTTTGGCGAACTAATGTCACATTTATGGATGTTGTTAACCATGCAAGTAAAATAAAATCTACATCTAAGTCTGGTACCCAATGGAATTCAGTAGAAGACAAAAGATTTTTTTGTTAGCTTGGGGCTAACTAGTGGTGTTAATTCAAAAATTCATTGTCTATTCTTGTTTGTGTTTGGTCCTGGCAACATTTGGGGAATTGTGACGTAGCTCCGTCTTTAAAAATCTGAGCCATATCCTCATCATAATCAGTCTCTATAACCAATCCAAGATGTACTCATCATACCGCATACATTTCCCCATGCACTCATTCAAGTTGATTGTGCAAGCATTTTGACCACAGTCCCTGTAAACCATTGTTAATCCCCATTGTTGTGTTTAGTGAAACCCATTGTAACAGAACAAAGTTGTCTTTATACAGATAAAGATCTACATAAACAACACATTTGTTTATGTTTCCAATTTCATGAATATTAATGAGCAGCAGAGACACAGATTCACACATCTAGAATTAGTAGTTGCCTTGATCATGTGAGCAATTGACTGAGACGAGTGACTGCATGTGAGCTTCACAGTGAGTGACGTACTGCATGTGTATACCAATCTATTCACATATTGTTATTTATTGCTATTCACAGGGCAGGCAGGGATATTTAGAACGTGCTCCAATACAGACTAAAGTAGCTGGAAGTGAGTAGACTGTAGTCTATCATATTTTGTGTTATGTTTATGTCCCTAGCAGCTCAGTGAATTTGACAGTACTAGTATTCAATTCAATTAGTAGACAATTAGTCCATTTGCTAACAATGCAGCTGTGTTACAAGCAATGTTGTCTCCAAATCTGGCTTCCTGAAGCAACACTGCTTGCAATACAGCCAATTAGCTGACGATATTACTAGTTAGGTGTACAAAACATATCCACAGCCACAGTGAAACAATTTTCAGTTGAATATTCTCAGCATTATATTTATGAACACTAATTAGCTACATGGCATTATAAGATCGTCCAAATTCAAGTTCATCTGCACAAAAGTCAAATAAAGAATTATTGTGATTGGTCAGATCATGGAGCTCCGTGATCAGATGATCAATTTGAAACAAAGCCATATATTTGTAGTTTTTGAATCCTGTATGCCTGCATGCATGTACTGAATTTATAGTAGGATTTATCTTTTGATACAAAATTAATTTTATTTCAATTTTTCAGGTGGAGATACATCTGGCATCAGTCAAGGAGACCTAAAAGAACACACTGGTAGTGATTTTCCAGAAAATACAATTTTGAATAGTACTGGTTCATCATTTAATACAGAATTACAGAGTACTACTGGCTTTGGACATAATACAGAATTACAGAGTACTACTGCTTTTGGACATAATACAGAACATCAAAATGGTGGTCCAACACTAGATATACAACCTCAGCAATATAACAGGTAATGCTTTGAATAAATTTACATTATGTTTTTCTAAATGAAATAACAGGCATTTGATTAGGAATAAACAATAAATATTTTCCAAACCTATCTTTTATAAAAGCAAAATAATTCAAATTCTGTCATTTTGCTGTAATAATAAACAAACAGAATTAGATGAAAAATTTATTAAATTTGAGCTTGAATTTCTAAAAATGGTATCACCTGGTACGAGAGTATTTGCGAAATTTACTTAGGGCACCACCTGGTGTTCATCTTTTATAATTATTTTGTTTTTATGAAGATAAAACTCTGCTCTTCATTTACATTTATTTCGAATAAAATACATTGTTTTACATAAAATATGACAATTGCAGCAATGTATACAATTAAACTTAAGTGTAATGTGTTTTGGTATTATTCTTATTATAACAACTAGTAATATTTATTTGTACACTTTAAAAACAAACATTTACTTTTGTGTCAGCCTAATGACATCAATACTATCAGTTACCAACGCCCATGATCTATGTTTGCTTGACATTTTGTTAATTTAGTTTTCTGTTTGATTCTCTTATAGTCCCTATACCCCTTTTTCTTCAAATCTAAATTTGGTTGCAAAATATACCTATCAATTTGTATGAAAGCCATAAAAGATACATGTATTCATGCAATGTGTTCACAGATGTCTCTGGAAGGAAACTTACTCTGAAAATCTTAATATTCACTAACCATTTCTAGATAGCATACAAATAACTCATTGCAGAACAGTGACTGACCATGACAAAATTATTCATTTTTTTCAGCATTTCTGAAAGCCAAATAAGTCCACAAAACTTTGAAACCAAATCTTCAGAAATGTATCACTCAAGTAACAGAGATCATTCACCTTCAGGTAAGCAACTTTTCATTGTTTAAATTTTACTTTTATTAGTATTCATCTGTTACTATTAGTAACACGTAATTATTACACCAAAGATAGAAAAAAATTGAATATACTGGTAAAGTCTGTGATACTGGTATTTACTCCATTAAAAGTTGTAAATGATAGAAACAAGTCTGTGGTCAAAGCAAGACATATTTCAAAGTTCTAGCATGCAATAAGGAATTGTTGGTTGATGTATGTTTCTAATATATATAATATGATAACATAATACATGGTGATGCTGATCATATCATCTTTGATGTACCATATCTTGGAATCACTAATGTCAATATTCAAACATTATCTTCTTGACTAATATTGATGGCTAAGACATACATAGTTCAAAAAATATTCGCAACAATAGCAGATTTGAATACCCATATCGTATCTTTGCCAAAAGTTAGAGTGAGAGATCCAAGAGAAACATTTCCACGACAATTCAAATTTGTTATAGTGGTATTTTACGTCTGAATTCTGATTTCCTTGTGGGAATGTTATCTTCAGTGTATGAGATTATTTATAAAGTGTACTTTACCCATTGGTGAGTTATCACTTCAAACAGTTTGTATGATCTATAATTGCACAAGCCCACAAAAAGATTTTGAAGAAGTTATTTTCTTGTAGGTTTACCATCAAGTTTGACGGGAAGGCGCAGTGCAGATAGCACCAGATCAACTTCATCATTATTAAGCACTGGGAGTAATTCAATGGAATATGGTCGTCCACAGTCATCGTCAACTCCAAAGACATACACAAGTGGATCAACTATTGGAAAGAGTAACTTTAAAACAGAAGAATCTCTAGTGACAAGAGGTATATAGGCTGGTCATGTGTCTGTGTAGTTTTGTATAAATTATACAACTAATATAATTCTACGACTAAAAATACAATGAATTTCATAAAGGCATAAATGTTTTCATAAAAATGTATGTAATATTTACACTGGAAGAGCCTCATTCTTCATTCAAATCTAAAAACATTGGCTATAGAAAGTAATTGGTAACATCCATAAAGGTATTACCCACAAGTCTTTGCAAGTGTCTTTCAATCATTAGCCATGCGTTAATTAATACATTATGTTTTCAACGTTCAAGCATTCATGAAATTCACTGTACATGAACATCATTAATTTCTTGTTCTTGCAACTTTTTGAACAACAATATTTGTTTTTTTCTGCCAACTTTTCGATTTAGAAAAAATGAACACAAATTTGTGTTATATAGAAAAATATAGAAAAAATGTCATGTTGTTTTTATTTTGTGGAAAGTGGCAAAAGTTATAAAAAATAACAATGCAACTGGAACTTGTTTATTGCAGCTGGAATGAAGCCAGGTTTACTATCTGCAGGACATACAGTAAGAACCACTACTCCAGATAGAACTCACCCGTCCGTAAGTAGACTTCATGACAGCGGCACAGGTGGAACTCCAAACGGTAGCGGTATTTTGGACTGCATGTCATCCGGCATTGAAGAGGACATCGCTTCATCTCGGTGTTCTGTATCATCAGGAATGTTAGATGAGGCTTGCAGTCAGATAGAACATAGAACGGTACCAGGCACACAACCTCATTATCAGGTAAGATATCTATAAACATAGATCAAACAAGAATTGAAACTGTGAAAACTTCACTCCTACAAAACTGGAATTTTCTGAAAAAGCTCAAAAAAAAGTTTTTAAAAACATATCCTGCACCCAGCAAAAATAAATTTGAGAATCATAAGATGAACTTAAAGACAGACAATTATGTGGGAAGTCATATTTTTGGACGTAATATTCTTTATAATACCAGCAGTCCAGCAGTCAGACAAGACAAGTACTTTCAATAGTACAACACAAGTTGTTTATTCATGAACATAACATAGAAGAGCCCTGAACAATTACAATAGATGCTTATATACCCTCGTGGGGATTCTGAATTCGAGCAGGGAAACTTAGATACAAGTATACAATACTGTGATTGGTCAATACAAATATTGTGGTGTTGCCTCTCACGTTCGCTCATAGCACAGTGTTCAAGGTCGTATCCCGTTTTGTTACATTCAAGCTTAAGCGGTATAAAACAGTATAATAATATAACACGATACACAATATCAGTAATAATAGTAAACAATAAGCATATCCATATCTATTTCTGACAAATTAAGCCCCTCCCCCACTGACACAGTCTAAGGTCTAAATATTACTGTGCTGTATGTTGTTCATTTTCAAAACTTCCGCTTCAAAAGAAATCCCAGAATGCAAAGCGAATTTGGCAACTACATTTTCTCAAGGGCCTGAAATTCAGGTAAAAGGGAAAATCAGTACAAAAACTGTGCTATTGTATATGCACTATATTAGAGTTTATTTATAATGTTATATATTTATGTATATTTTGCTGTACATAGTACTCTCAGTCATTACAACAGCAACATTAAATTTAGAACAAATTAATGCGGCTTCCCTTTCCCTCAAAAACACAACGGACATAATGGAACTTTCTATCAAATGTTAAAGGTTGAAGGTCAACAAGTTTTACTTGAGGTCAAGTAGCAGTCTTCTAACTGGAACGTAAAATGGATAACGTTTCTGTGGTTGCTCGGCATTTGTGGCATTTTGACACTTTCCTGAGATGTTTTGATCCTGGAGGTGAATGCTAAAACATTTGATTACGTAAACCAGAGGGTAGAATCAAGGTATTACCGGTATCAGAGTAGTACTGACACGAGTGATGTCTTATTTAAACTCGTCAAGTCGATCTGTTAGTTTCATCCACTGTGTTTCATCATAGAAAAAGGATGTACTTGAAAGGATTAATTATTCACTGGGTTTTAATTTTGCTTATTTCGCTGACTGGAAAATGCGCTAAATTAAAACCCAGTGAATATGTAACATTTAGCATAGAACACATTATCTAAATTACTGTATAACAACATAAATTTAAAACCCACTGAATATGCCTGGAATGGTAAATCAGTGAAATTTAAACCCAGTGAAAATTAGTCATTTACAGTATGTTCAGTTATTTTGTATTATTTTTTCGGTCATTGCTTTGCTGTGGCACATTCTAGTATTTACTTCTATCATGGTGGAAAGCATTCAGCCGAAAAAATTCGTTTTTATGTTATATCTCAGAATGATTTGGTTTCACAGGCCATTTCCCCTGGCATATTCCATTGGAAAATACGTCAATTTTCTAAGAGCTTTCTAAATTATCAATACTCGTCTGTTTTTGGATAGTTTTGAATTTTATTCTGTATATATTTATGCATATTTTTTTTTTAAAGCAATTTTCTGTTTTTTGTTACTTTCCAGTGAGTGGAATGTACTATTCTTTCATATCATTCCTTCGTCATCAGTTTGGTTGGCACATACTATTTTAACATTCAAGCATTGATAATTTTTAATTTTGTTCGAACAGTTTAAGTGCACAGCACCTACATTCTAGGTAATTACCATTATTAGTTGGCAAATATTAAATGCAGCTGAATATTATTCGTCACAATCTGATTTGAATATAACACTAGGTGGCGCTATACTGCTGTAATGTGGTTTACCGGTATATGATTTTGGTTAAAATTATTTTCCATTGTAGAGAACTAGAGATGTCATGTTTATGAATCACTAGCCCAGGTATTGATATCACCCAATAAACAGTGGCTGTTAAAATTCATGCAGAGATTAAACTATTTATCAATAAAAGCACTTCAATGACATCGGAGTTCACTTTTACTTTACATTTCAAGGTTGTAGTAACACCAATATTGGGTGAAGTGATATTAATCTGTGCAGGGAATTCTTATCACTAACAATGTAAACAATAGTATGGTTATCCCAACAGAAGAAATTAATTAACATGTAGAAATTCAAAAATAATTTTATCTGACCAAATACTTAGTATTTTTTGTGTTTAATAATTGTGCCCTCCAGAATCAATAGACCCCCCCATACAAAAATTATTGACCCCTGAAACATGCAGTATGACACAATTAGATCACTTGGTAACAGGTGTAGAATAAATTAACCTTCACCCAAAGTGATTTTCATTAAAATAATTTTTTATATAAATCCCCAAATAAGATTAATAATGGCTCTCACATTTTGCAGTAATTTTTTATGTATTTTTTGTCAAAATTACCTATTATTAAAATTGTGTAGGGTTGACTATCATCATTGTTGTTATGACAATATGCAAATTCTTTTTCTGAATCATGTACACTTTCTCATCATAATATTTGGTTTCCATTACATATTGTACATATTCCATATGGTAGTTTTCATATTTACATAACAATAACCAGCTGCTGTGTGCAGAGATTGAAAACATGGTGGACATTTTATTTTCCATTTCTACATCATTTCATGGTCCTATGGTGATATAATCAATAACATGGATTTTTAATGGCAACCTTGGATCTATGATTGAATCAGTCCATCAGTATGTGTTCCATTGGAGATCTGGAAGTGAATATGGATAGGACTGTGGAATTTGTGGAAATGGTGAAAATTTTGCGTATTCTTGGTGTCATCAATGGCACTGACTTGCAGGTGGTACAATGCAATATTATCATCTCATTAGCATAGTGTAGAGGTGAATCATGGGAAATTCGTCAGAGCATAAAGTTATCATAATAGTTTCTGGTGAAACAGGATCATTACGCTAGGTACTAGTAGTACAGATGGAAAACACTTTGTATATTGTAGAAATTTGTTAATGCGAGTTTTAAACCACACTGCAGCAAAGATATCAGTAATGATAATATACCCCGTTAGTGTTGAAAGGTTTGTATATAATCCCTTGTGAAAAAGATACCTTGACTTCTGTGAATATAACCTCCCTCTATGTCAAAAATACATGTGTGTTTGTGTGTGTGTGTGTGTGTGTTTTGAGAAGGGGGGGGGGGGTAATCTAAGACAGCTATAGTAGTAGCAGTAGTGATGTTTTCACACATTTGATGATTTATTTCATTCATTTTAACTTACCAGAATAGTTTTTTTTTTTAATATGATAAAAACTTCTCAATTGTTGAGATATGTTTATTGCATGTTTCACATGTTATGAATAGTTCTATTATTGTAGAACAATACATTGTTTATTGGCCATCATTTCATTTCCTCCATATGTCTCACAGAGTATGCAATAACAAATAGACACTATCAATATTCATTTTTAAAGCTACAGATACTGATAATTTACTGAGTACAGACTCTATTCATCTGTAATAAATCTAGTGCCATATAAGTGACTGTGTCTCTATTGTGTGCATTTCATTTTGTATTTTGTAAGTAATGTTGAAATTAGAACACGATAAAGGTTATCAGTCATTGTATTTGATAAAAGATCAGATACATAAATGGTTTTGCAGGTAGTCTTAATTAATTTAAAGGATGAGTTATCTAGACTTAGTTACATTATTATCATTCGGTATGTAGACATTGCTGGT